AGAGAGGGAGAGAGAGAAAGAGGGAGAGAGAGAGAGAAGGAGAGAGAGTGTGCTGTTTACAGTTCTATCTTTTTAAAATTAAGATTTAAATATAAGATCATGAAACGGTGCGCTAATCATCTCGTACTTGCGCTAACAAATCTATAATAAATAAAATATATAATGAGTTAGAGAGTGTATGGAGGTGGAGTAGGAAGCAGTGCTTTAGAGAGACGTGTGTGTGTGTGTGTGTGTGTGTGTTTATTCCACCAGCATTGTTAACAGAACAGAAGGGTTCTTCTCCAGGAGCTCCATCAGTACTGTCTGCTCAGGATCCAGATCTTTTCCACTCAGTTCTGTCCCTCTTTTCAGCCACCCGATCAGAACCGTCGTCCCAAACCGCTCGGCCAGCTCGGGGTAACGGAAGATGAAGCGCAGGAGTGAGGGATGAGGGACGGACAGAGGAGAAGAGGATGGAGGTGTGGATGACAGGAACTTAATGATGCTCTTCAGAGAAGGCTGAGGGAGAGAAGAAAAGATCAGGGTTAGAAAAGCTAACATGGGTAACAGTGAATGAAAAGGAGTTAGTGTTTTGGGGCTGGTGTGTGTGTGTGTGTGTGTGTATGTGTTGTGTGTGTGTGTGTGTGTGTGTGTGTGTAGTGGAGTACCCAGTCTAGATCAGAGCTGCTCTCCTGTGTTTCTGACAGCAGATAAAGAACTGACTGCAGTACTGAAGGAGGAAGAGTATCACACTGTTCCACTACTGCACTATTAAACTCTACTACACTGGAGAACACTGTAGCATCCGGGAGCAACCTGTAACACACACACACACACACACAGATGTGCAGGAGAGTGTCACCCATCCACATCTATTCCTCTGTATTACATTGATCATGTGTATAACAATGTTTTTATTCTAATTAAACCATATAAATAAGTCAGTCTTTAATATAATTAATGACTTTCTGATAAAAGCACATTTCCATTCCGTTAAAAAAAAAACCTAGGTAGCTAACACATAGCAAATTCTAAATTATTTCTTTATCACTTAATGGGAATAACATCAAAGTACCATGTTTTAGTAAACAGCAGTGTAAAATGGTGTTCTTTAAGTGAAAACAGCACCACATATCTTTAACTCAAGCACATTAAGCCCCACCCCTTTTCCATTTTCATTGGCTGCTGAACATAATCATAATTGTAATAAAGCAACACACACCTGTCACCATGGATCAGTGAGAGATACAGCAGGTGCAGTAAGCAGTACCGTGTGTTCTGATTAGCTACTGGAACCTCGCTCAGCACCGATGGCCAATCACACACATGATAGTACAGAGAGGGCAAACACTCACGCAACACACACTCCACCTCCTCAACACCTGAGAGAGAGAGAGAGAGAGAGAGAGAGAGAGAGGGAGGAGAAAATACCTTCAAACAGAGGAGCATAACAATGTAAAGCTTTTGTTCAACAGTTCTGTAACACACACACACACACACACACACACAGACCTAGGTGTTGGCTGTGGGTCTCCGGATCAGGCTGAGACAGTAAACACATACAGAGTTTCAGAAGAAAACCGCAGCAAGCTATGTTTAGAGATGTGTGTCTGAAAGAACGGGAAGACAAAGAGAAATAAAACACTCAGCTAACAAATACTGTCCTGAAAAAAATCATTCAAATTTCAATAACACTCATCAATTGACTTCTAATCACAGAAACTTCCTGTTTAGACTATGAGTATTTCCTATTTTTTTTTTTTTTTTTTTATCATAGTTCCTGTATGACAGTGCTCCAGCGCTGCCCTGAACATTCTGCCCATAACAGTAATGGAGTACTCGAGCCTTCAGCAGTAACGGAGTGAAGTGAAGTGAAGTGAAGTGTAGCCAAGTGTGGTGACCTATACTCGGAATTTGTGCTCTGCATTTAACCCATCCAAGTGCACACACACAGTAGTGAACACACACACACACACCCGGAGCAGTGGGCAGCAGCACCCGGGGAGCAGTTTGGGGTTCGGTGCCTTGCTCAAGGGTCTCACCTCAGTCGTGGTATTGAGGGTGGAAGAGAGCGCTGGTCAGTCACCCCCACCCCCCCCATAATCCCTGCCGGACCTGAGACTCAAACCCACGACCTTCAGGTTCACCTTTAGGTTACAAGTCCGAGACTCTAACCATTAGGCCACGACTGCCCCGCCTTCAGCAGTAACCGAGTACTCGAGCCTTCGGCAGTAAGGGAGTACTCGAGCCTTCGGCAGTAACGGAGTACTCGAGCCTTCGGCAGTAAGGGAGTACTCGAGCCTTCGGCAGTAACGGAGTACTCGAGCCTTCGGCAGTAAGGGAGTACTCGAGCCTTCGGCAGTAACTGAGTACTCGAGCCTTCGGCAGTAAGGGAGTACTCGAGCCTTCGGCAGTAACTGAGTACTCGAGCCTTCGGCAGTAAGGGAGTACTCGAGCCTTCGGCAGTAACGGAGTACTCGAGCCTTCGGCAGTAACTGAGTACTCGAGCCTTCGGCAGTAAGGGAGTACTCGAGCCTTCGGCAGTAACGGAGTACTCGAGCCTTCGGCAGTAAGAGAGTACTCGAGCCTTCGGCAGTAAGAGAGTACTCGACAGTACTCAAGCCATAAACAATAATGAAAATTGTACACAAGCTTTGAACAGTAACACCCAAAAAGAGTACTTATACCTGTTTCCTGAACACAGAAGAGCCTTGTTTTCTAGAGTCAGTCTAATGAAACCTGAGGAGGCTGGGAAAGAGAGACAGAGTGGGCAGTAAGTTTTTAATAATTTAACAAGAAACTAATTTGAATGCTAAAAACTGTGCTAAACTTTGGTGTGTGTGTGTGTGTGTGTGTGTGTCTCACCAAGCTTGTTGGCAAAGGCAGGCATGAGTGAGGGCGAGAGAGAGAACTGCACAGAGAGAATGGAGAGGAAGAGCTGCAGAACCCGAGGACTGGGGATGCGCTCACACACTCTCTAAACACACACACAGGTTTATAACTTCAGTATGTTCGTACTTCAGGACGAGTGTGTGTTCGTGTGTTTAATTAATTATCTGTGCATGTCGGAAAAAGCACAGGGATTGAACGAGTGTGTGTGTGTGTGTGTGTGTGTGTGTGTGTGTGTGTGTGTAACTTACAGTAACTGTAGGAATGTACGCTGTATCACAGCACTTCAGCAAACACACACACACAGACTCCAGTGTGTCCTCATTCTGCTGGTCTGCTGCTGTTAAAGGATGTTCCTTCACATTGGCCTCACGCACACACTCCTCCACCAGCCTGAACACACACACACACACACACACACACACACACACACACGCACCTGATGTTCCCACAGTATGCTGAGCTAAGCACAAGAAAGTTGTCTCTGACTTGCATTCATTAAACCACATTATCATTATATGCAGTGTGTGTGTGTGTGTGTGTATGTGTATATGTGTGTGTGTGTGTGTGTGTGTGTGTATGTGTATATGTGTGTGTGTGTGTGTGTGTGTGTTACTGACCTGCAGGCCACATGAAAGCAGACCAGTGCCTGCATAAAAAACGCTCCTGCTTTGGCAGACTGAGAACTGGACTCAGAATCTGCAAAACACCTCTAAGACACACACACAAGTTCCATCATTATCTCTCCCCTTTTCTGTTTAAGTTATGGTCTCTCTCTCTCACTCACACACACACACACACTCACTCTGCGTTGTGAGATGGTCCGTGAGGGTAACTCTGTGAATCTGCATGACAAAGCCTCCATGATCTTTTTTAATTCTCCATAATGCACTGGAGTGGACTGGTGATGCATCCTACACACACACACACACACACACACAGTATTTAAATTTAATGGTCAACAACATTGTCTCAGTAAAGACACTCACTGTAAAAATGTTGTTAAAATTTCCCTGGAACACTTGCATGTTTAACCTCATTAAATAAAGAGCTAGCTGATTAGCTAATAGTAAACTAGCATGCACTAGTCACACGCTTACATCGCTTATATCTTCAGTGATTTATGTAAAATTAATTATGTTTGTCCATCCTATCTATACATTTCATTATCTAATAGAGAAAACAGCTTATGGCTAAACATTTAATTGACCTTGTGGCTGTTGCTAAACTTTAGCACACAGGTAGTGAGAACAACATATACATTATTTATGGTTAGAAACTTGCTGCAAAATCACTTTTACTTCCCCCACTTTTAAAATTTAACACTTTCTTTTATTTATTCCTATAAGGGGGTTAATAGGTTCAGAAGAAGCCTTATCTTGTCACATATACATTACAGTGAAATTATTTTCTTTGCCTATCTCAGCTTGTTAGGAGGTTGGGGTCAGAGCGCAGGGTCACCATGATACAGGGGCAGGTTTAGGGCCTAACTCTGGCAGCTTGGTGGTTCTAGGGCTTCAAACCCCAACCTTCTGATCACTGACCCAGAGCCTTAACCGTTGAGCCTCCACTGGAGGTAGAGCTTGGTGTCCTTGATGTAACAGCACAATGAGATGCTGTGTTTTTGAATGACGGAACTCAGCAGAACGAGTAGAGTGGAAAGTACTGGATGTAAAATGGACTCTTGGGGGATGCTACAGGTAATGGGATTACAGATGGAAAAAAAAGCTGCTTCCTTTCAGAGGATGCAAACAAAACTTGGAATTTTGGAAACTTACAGAAGAACACGAGATAAATTTAAACTTTATATCCAGATTTCTGTAAAGCTGCTTTGTGACGATGTCCATTGTTAAAAGCACTATATAAATACATATGAATTGAATTGAACAAGTGCTGCAGAAGTTTTCTGTACAAAGGGCTTGGGACAAAAAGAAACGTGTGGTGTGTTAGATGAAAGCAGTGCATGTTTGAAAGGCCTGGAGCAGAGAGTAGTGTGCGTCTGAACGTTTGTTTGCCGAGGAGGATGGAGGAAAACATCACAGTACTCAACAAAAGGTTTAGAAAGACCTTAGTCTTATCTTATAGACCTTAGA